GCTATTACATTTCTCAGGAGGGTAAGATGACTTTCAGCTAGAACAGTTGGGAGAGGGTTTAAAGAGAGAATGTGATTTCAGCTGGGACTGAAGAATGAGCAGTATTTGTGTATGTTGATGGATTGGGGCGGGGCCTTCCAGGTGGCAGATAGGAAGAGCAGGAGCGAGGAGAGTGCAGAGCTGAGAAAGAGTAACCAGTCACCAAGTTGGTTTTCTGTCTGATCAGTATGGAAAAAGAAAAGAGGTTGGCTCTTTCTCTCCTTCCTCTGTGTCCGCTTCAGAATTTTCAGAGCTAGCATGTTATCTAATTTGTTCCTCACAGGTGATCCTTCGTAACAAAAGATTCTGGACTGGGGGTAAAAAGGTCATAAGATGGCCAACTACCCCAGTTTGCCTGAGAGTGATGTTTTCTCAGGATTCGGGACTTCTGGTATTAAAACTGGAAGTCTCAAGCAAATAAGGATTAGCTCGTCACACTAGCCCTAGTGAAGAGACAGAGAAAATTGACAGTAGCCAAATGAATCTTTTAGAACCACTCTCCACCACTCTCCTAGCATGGACCCCAGTTCCTGATTTATTTTCTCCTTTGAGGACAAAAGAAAATGGGTTTTACAACTGAAGGAAAATATTTCACCCTCTCCACGTAACTTTCTCTCAAGGCCTCTCCTCCCAATTTAGATGTGTCACCTCGGTGCTACAATATGAAGATTGCTATCATTCAGTTACCAATCACTGCGTGGCACTGATCTGTAGTCAACATTCCCAAACATTCAATAAACTTTTTGTTGGTGTGGACTGTGCCGTATTTATCCTTGCAGTGGTATAGATCACAATGCAAATTATCCAGTGCTCATTCATGAGTGAACAGACGCCTTTATTGGTTGGCTTGTTAGTGGTTAGATGACTGCAATTCACTATTTGAATATTTCACAGTAACTAATGGATCCAATCAAAAATGACTAGTGGTGTCCCTCCTCCCAGGAACAATCATCTCTATTCACAGTCCTCCGTTGTAAAGTGCATCGTGTTATTCCAGTTTTTAGTCTCGAGTATCAGCTCTCTAAGGCTGAAGGGCTCAGTAAGCCTTAAACAAAGGAGGCCCCAAATTCCCCAGATGCTCTCTTAGGTTCCGTGATGAGCCAACCAGCTTTCACTAATGGTCCTTGCTGGTGCCGCAGCAGAGCCCAGAGGTGGCAGCGGTGGGAGCCTTCTCTGCAGACTGACTAGAAACCTGGGCCCCATTGGGCCGTGAGGCCCCAGGCAACTCTTGCTATATCGTGATGAGATTTGGGGGAAGGGATGAGCTGAAAGGGGAGGAATTCCAATTTAGGTATAAGAAAAAGATTTTATGCACAAATCAATGTCAGCTCATTGTATTCTTCCCAAGTTTTTATTTTGAAAATTTTCAAACCTACAGATAGTCGAAAGTATAATATGATAAAAATGCACATATACCTTTCTTTCCACTTGATTCATCAACTGCTAACATTTTGCTCTATTTGCTCGAATCCCTCTCTTCACTGATTTTATTTATTTTATTTTTTGCCAAGCCATTTAATAATAATTAGTTACAGATATATTGAAATTTGACTCCCAAAGTGCTTCAGCATGTATCTCCCAAGAACCAGGCATTCATTATCTAAATAAGCACACTGTTTATTTTTTACTCCTAAGACATTGATATAATAACATTATCTAATATGTTGCCTATATATAAATTTTTCCAATTGTCTTAGTAAAGTGCTTTACCATATTTTTTCTGATCTGGAATCCAAACAAGAATCACCTACTCCACGTAATTGTCATTTTTTTTTTAGTCTAGTTAGTCTCCTTAATCTAGGACAGTTTCTTACTTTTTATGCAAGGTGGGGTGGGAGGGGGTCTTTTATGACTGATGCTTTTGGAGTCCAGGTTAACATTTTATAGAATTTAAATTTGGGTATTTGTTTCCTCATTATTAAATTCAGCTTAGATAGTTTTAGTATAAGTACTACATAGGTGTCCTTATATACTTATCCCAGCATATCAAGAAGCTCATAATGTCATTTTATTTCAATATTGATAATGATCCCACAAGGCATCAAAGGCTCAGAGCAAGAACTAATGAGGCAGTCAGGCAGGACATTTTTTTCTGTCACTTGGTTAAGGTGATGTCTGCCAGATTTATCTACCATAAAAGCTCCTCTACCCTTTGTAGAAAATAAGTAATCTATGGGGTGAGACCATGTGAATATCTCATTCTCTAACAGCTTTCATCCAATATTTTATTATCCATTGATGATCTTTCTCTGAATGAAATATTGTGTTGGTGGTTGCGAGTGGTGATTTTTTTATTATTTTTTCTACATATATAAGCTAGCATTCTTCTGTAAAGAACACTACCCCATCACACACGCACACACACACACACACACACACACACACACACATGCTTTTTTGTTAAAATTTATCTTGAAATAAATATTCACAAGAAATTGCAAAAGTATTATAGAGAGGCTCAGTGTATCCAAAATCTAGCTTCCCCAAATGACAACATCCTACATAGTAGATTATGAAAACCAGGAAATTGGCATTGACACATTATGATTAACTAGACTACAGACTTTACTTGGATTTCACTATTCTTTATTTCTAATTCTTGTTTTAATTTTTTAGCATCACTTTGGACTCGTTTTTTATTGTGTTATAATCTATTGTCATTATTCTTTTCGATGCTCAAATTGTCTCAAATTTGGCTAGTGAGAACCCCTTCAAGCCAGCTCCTTGTGTCTTGTTGATAAGTCATCATCAGTCTTTGAGCTATAGTTTGCTTTCTGATACAAGATGTCCCAGACTTGGGACCTGTAATTAGCCATTTCTCCAAGGAGCTCTGGTTTCTTTTAGTGGGAAATGGTATTTAGCAACTAAGATCTGGGTGCTAGGCGAGCTACTGGAGTTTATTGCTTCAAAGCTTTTTCAGTAAACAAACCTGAATTCAGACTGACTCCTCTAATTCAAATCAACATGGCAGGATTTTTCCTCATCTTTTCCTGTCCTATATGTCTAGACCCTTCTCCCTGGTTCTTGTCACTATCAATGCATTTCATTCTTTTGCTAGGTCTTAAAATATATTCAAATTATTGGAATTACTGTACCAATACCACTACCAACAACAAGCCTACTAAGTAAATTCAAGGTGTTTTTACAGTTCTTTTTTTTTAACCCACCAAGGCTACACAGTTAGAATAGTGCTCAAGAGTTTTTGAATGAGTTATTTTTTTCTGTATAGTTATGCTATCCATTTGATATGCGGTTGGCTTCCTTTGTTTGATTTTGTATTCAGTTTTAAAATTTGCGTTTTACTCATCCTTACTGATTTAATTTTGTTTTAAAATGTAAGAAACATTTATATGAGTGTAAGTCAAAACTATATGACAAGGTATACTCAGAGAAGTTTCACTATCATCCCTAGTAGCCCTACCCGCTAATGGGCAGTCATTTTCATCAGTTTCTGGTTCACGCTTCCTGCATGTCCTTTTGCAAAAATTGGGAAACAAGTACGTTTTCGTTTGTTTCTTATATAAAGGTAACATGCTATATGTACTCTTTCACACCTTACTTTTTGCTCTTAACAAGATATCCTGAAAATCATTCCATAGCAATTTGTAGAGAGTGTTTTCATTCTTTTTCAGATTGTGTGCATTCTCTTATGTGGAGATACCATAGATTATTCAACGTATCTTCTATAGTGTGGCATCTAAATTGATTTCAATGTTTTCTTATGATAAATAACATCCCAATAAATAACCTTATCACAAGTAGTTCATATTTTTGGAAATATATCTCAGGTAAATCCCAACAAAAATAATGGCTAACTCAAAAGGTAAATGCAGTTTTGCTCAATATGCAAGATTCTCCTCCACAGGACTGACCATGTTGCTCTCTCACTAGCAATATGAGAGTATAGTTAGCCTCATCGAAAGCGTGTTTTGTCAATCTTTCGAATTCTCTGAAACCGATAGGCTAAAAACAATATCAAAGGATTTTATTTTGCATCTCTCTTATTAAGGGTAAGTTTAAGCAGTTTTTTAAATATGTTTGAAGACCATTTGCGTTTATTTTTCTGTGAAGTGTCTTTCTTCTGCTCATTTTTTTTTCAGATTTTTGGACTTTCATTTCTTGATTTTCAAATATTCTTTACATGCTAGGAAGATATTAGTCCTTTATCGGTGACATATGTTGCAATACTTTCTTGAAGTTTGTTGCTTGTCATTTGACTTCGTAATGTTTTGGCCTTACAAAAAAAATTTCTTTTTTAAATAGTCAAATTTATCAATCTTTTCTCTCATTAGACCTAGATTTTCGATAATGATTTAAAAAGCTTTCCACATCCAGATTGTAAAGAAATGCACCCAAGTTTTCTTTTACTACTTGTACAGTTTCATTTTTTTTCTTTTTCTTTTTCTTTTTTTACATTTAAATCTCTGATCTATTTTGAGTTTATTTTGGGATATGGTATGAGATATGGAAGTATTTTTATCTTTTCCCAAATGTCTATTCAGTTGTCCAATTCTTATTAAAAAGTCATCTATTTCCCAAAACTTCTTGAACTTGGAGGTCTTTTACACTACTCAAGTTCTACAGTTAATATTGGTATGTCAAAACAGAAACCAACACCTGTTCCGCAGCATACTGCCAAACCCTGAAACAAAGACACTGGGGCGGGGGGTGGGGGGGAAGTGGTAAGAGCAAGAGTTAGAAACTCAGTTTCTAAATATATATATTCTTGGTAATATTTTTTAAGAACTACATGCTGATGACAAAAGTTTCAAATAGTACAAAAGGTTGTACAGTAAAAAGTAAAATCAACCTCCTATATCAGATTACGGCCTCTCTAGAAGCAGCCACTGCTGCCAGTTTCTTATGTATCCATCCACATAATATGTGCCTATGCAGACAGGGAGAAAATGAAAGAGAGAGATGCTTTAAATGAAAGAGGATGAAAGTGAGCTCATACTTACTGAAAAATCCTTAAGTGCCAAGCATGCTCAGGTTATCACTCTTCATCATCCAACATTCCTCTGGGGTTCATATTTTCACTCCATTTCATGGATGAGAAAATGAGGTTCAGAGAGGTAAAGTGACTTGTCTAAAGAGCCCAGCTAGCAGAGGAAGAATTCGTATTGGAATCTACACTTTCTTCTCTGTACCATGATGGGTGGTCACTGCAGGTAATGGCTGTCCAGAACTCTGGGAGGCACACTAAACACATTCTTGATAGCCCCCAAAATGCCTTGGCAGTAGGAGCAAAAGAATATCCAGGTTGTGCCAAGAAATGAAGATGCCATGTCATATTCATGTGCTACTTGACAGGGAGCTCACCAAAATGGTAAAAGTGGCTCATGTATCAGGGCAAAATCTCCCATCCCCAAGCACTTTGAAATTGTTTTACAAGCCCTGCTACCAAGAGAGAAAAAAAAAATCAAAAGAAAAACTGGATTGTGTCAAGAAATGTTAGCAGCTATGACTCAAAGATGCATGGGGGGCAGATCTGTTGACTCAGAAGGGTCCATTTCTTAGTCACTTAGCAGCTTTTACCACACTTTAATCTTTTAGAGAAAGAAAGTGATTTACAAAGTAGGGGGAAGTAAAAATAAAGGATTGCAACAGAAGGATTTGCTTCACAACAGCAGTTCATGGCAGCCTGCAAAGAAAATATAGAGGAGAAAGCATTGTTATTCTATTCCGGAGAGAAGGTTTTTGAATACCGAAGTAGATGGGTGTCAATTTTTGTATATTAAAACGTTCAAAACACAGCTCTGTTCTCACAGAAGTTCCCTCTATTGTAGTGGAAATGTATTTGTTCCATCTTTAGGGATTACAGCTCTAAAAGTATACATGCTCAAAGCGGATGAGGGAGGGGAGGTGATGCTTCCCTGGAAAGTTCACAGGCTGTTTTTTGGTTCCCTGGGGATTTTACTGCTTCCGAATTAAGGTCCTTGAACTGCTCTATTCTTTAAGACACTGGAATGTTTGATTGGGATGGGACTGTCCCATCCCAATGGTAACTAAATGGGTACATGGCAGAGTTTTAGTTCATGATCAATCCCACCTACTGCCACCCTATCCCCTTTCTACTACCCCCAATTGTCATCACCACAAAAGATTTTGGAGGTACTCGAATCCTGGATTTTGTACCTGAGCTAGACATGAGTACATTCTTTCTACTTTTGATCACCAACTGCAAACCTGCACTTCCCTTGCAAAGATGCTGTAGACCTTGCATAGATGCCTATCTTTACCCAGATGACTATCTCTGCATAAATGCCCATTTTGCATGAATGCCCATTCTTGTGTGGATGCTTATTTTTGCATAGTTGCTCATACAATTAGCTGTTTGCTCAAGGACAAGCTCTAATCCAATACCTAACCTCTGACCTCTCAGCTTTCTAGTAATTCTCCTTTTCTCCATTTTTTACCTAATTCCCTTCAACTTTTACTCTGCTCAGCTTCTAGCCAAGGTGATATGCCTGTTCCTGTTCAGATTTTTCTCATCTCTACAGTCAAGAATATTCCTCTGATCTTTGCAAGGCTCCATACCCCTTCCCATTTAAAAATGCTATTAAAAATCCATGATTTGGACATGGTTCCATAGTGTAGCAGTTAGCACATCTGCTTTACACATAGAAGGTCCTGGGTTCGTGCCCCAGTGGAGCCAGGGACCATGGTCTACAGCCATGCCACCCTGAACAGCCCCGATGTCTGATCTCGGAAGTTAAGCAGAGTCGAGTCTGGTTAGTATTTGGATGGGAGACCACCTAGGAAGATCAGGTCTGTAGGCATAAATAATGAATGAATGAATGAATGAATGAATGAATATAAAATCTGTGATTTATAGCAAATCTTTCTTGAGTTTTTGAATGTTTCAAATAACTCCATTCTCACCCTTTAGCATCTGTCTACCTATCCAGCAATAACAAGCATATTTATTAGACACTTGCTCTGTGCTAGACACTCTGTGCTAATATGAGAGAAAATGACATTCATATAATGCTTTACAACTTGCAAGGCATTTTCACATCTGTTTTCCCCTATGATCCCCACAATAACCTCTAAAGGAAGAAGAGTAGAAATAATTAATAATCCCATATTACAGACCAAAAATCTAAGGCCTAGAGAGGTCAGGTGACTGCTAGGAACTGACAAGACTAAAAATTCAAACACAGATCATATTGGAAATCTTAGGCACTTTATATTAACCAAAAAGCTTTATGTATGTACACACGCATGCTCCCCTCCCCCCCCAAAATCCCCCCCACACATATTCTATCTTCATAGTTGTAATTAGTTATAAGTATGTTTTTCTGTTTTTCTAATGTGTTTGTTCTGTTTTCATTTTAGTAGACAAGGTCCCCATAGACTGGAGCCCAGAGCGGCTCTCCAAGCTTTGTGCTGGAGAAGGCAAGTCCAATAAATCCATGATTTTTAAGGGTAAAGCAGGATAAAGGGTTTGACATGTACAGACACTGTCCCATCTGAAACTGCAGTGAGAAGTATTGAGAGCCCATGCAGGTGGGCTCCCTGGTGCTTTACCCATTTAATAAGTGTTATGTTTTTGAAGCAATTTCCATTCCATCGTCACTAAAAGAATCAGCTTGGCAGTCTCCATCCCAGTCACACTCCTGCTCCTCAGCATAAAAGCAGTGCACATGAAAAGCCCCCCTAGTGAGCATATAATCATCAAACCACAAACCCATTTTTCAAGGATCCTTCCCCATTGCTAGAGACCTGGATTAATCAGCATGGCTCACAATGGTTTTTGCATCTCTTAATTTACCACCAAACACTCCTTCTCTCCTGAGAGGAGATGTTTTGTTACATGTAATTAGACCATGTACGCAATCCTATGTGGGACTTGTTATTTTTGCACAGGAGGATTACGGAGCTGTCTCCAGGTGGGAAATGGTGACATGCTGTAGGAACAAAGGTATGCTTGTGTTCATTTGCAAACCTCAGCCAATGTGGCGCAGGCTCGGTTGGGGAGATGTTAGGACTGGAGTCATACGTGGGCTCAGCTCCTCTGACTAATTGTCTGGGGCCTGGAGGTTCAGAAGATAATGGCTGAAGCATATGGTCTCTACTGCTTCTAAGATTTTCTGCCTCCTGAGAGCAAGGCCAGCAGCAGCCACCACAGGGTTGAAGGGCCTGGCAGTAACTTCAGAGCCCCTCCTTCCTAAGACACAGTCAAGGGACCAGGAAACCTCTATGAAGAGTAGCATCTGATTGTAGGGAACGAAGAGGTGGCTGGGCTTCAAAGAATGAGTATCCCTGAGGCCCTTCAGCTCCAATCTTGGGCTTTTCCTTGTGAAAACCTCATCCCCCCTAATACTCAACATCACCTAAAAGGGAACTCTTGAAGCTCTCTATTACACCAGAAGCAAAATGAAAAGACAGCACTGAAGCACCATCTGGCCTATTTCAAAAACTCTCTACTAACTCAGTTGGAACTTCCACTCATAGCTCAAATTGTACTGGAAAAAGCTGTTTAGAATTTGGGTCAGTTTGTGAAAAACATACTACATGTACTCTTGTCCTCAGCTGTCTGTATTTTCCTGTTAATGATGTAGAAGCAGGTCCTCTTGGAATTACTTAAGGTCAAGTATTTCACAGAAGCAAGAAACATGCTAGTCAGTCAGGAGGAGGGAGATATTGGACACCAGCCACTAGACCATGGTAGAATGCCCTAAAGTGTGGACATGCTTGGACCAGAGGTTCTTGTTTCCCCGTTTCATCACTTACAAGCTGTGTGACCCTAGGCAAGGCGTTACCTCTCTGAGCCTCTAATTCATCAGACATCTGAGGATGATAATAGCAATAATGTCTGACCAACCTCCCAGAGCCTTGGTGAGGATCAAATGAGATAATGGATGTGGGATTTGTAAACCATTTTCCTCTATAAAAGAAAAGTTCTTGTTATTAATAATACTGACTCTTTCCACTGGTAATGACTCTAATCTGAGAAGTGTGCGGGGAGCTCTTCCAGCACTGCTGTTCTGTTAAGGTCCTTTGCAAAGGAACAGCACCAAGGAGCACAAGTGTGTGCTGTCACTCACTAGGAGACATCCCAGGGGACCGAAGGCAGAGATGCTGGAGGAGAGGCACTGTGGCATCCTGTCCCTCAGGTTTGACACAGCATAATTGTTTTGACATTTGATAAAATTTGTTCTTGCATGGGTCAGGAGAAAGCCCAATACTGATGCTTTTCATCTAATTTCAATTACAGTCATTAAAACTCTTACTCCTGAGTCAAGCCTTTCCAAAAAGCCATCAATGACAGCCCATTACAGATGAGTTATTTATAGCGGTGCATGTTAATTTTACAGTACCACAGACCAATGATTCATGGCTTGGCATTAGTGAGAGACATCATTCACTGAGCTGAGTGATCCCTGACATAACAAGCGCTGCTCCATATCTCTTCAGGGATGATTCAAGGCCTCAGACTTAGAGGCCAGACCCTGTACAGAGCAGGAACAACCGGAGCACCTTGGCCTTGACCCGTTCCACCCAAAGAGATCTTCTGTCCTATGTAAGGAAGAATGGTACAATCTGCTTTGGGATCAGAGTGTGACATCTAAAGGATTTCTGACTGAAATGATGTTTGGCCTGCGCCAGAGTTTCATTTCTCACATTTGCAGCTATTTAGCACAGGCATTTGTTGTTATTCAATAACTCCAAGGGGATATCTGATACTCACCTGGCCTTGATGGGAAAAGATGGCTCCAGAGCCGTCGAAAGCCCAGCATCCTTTTATCCAAACTACTTCAACCTCAGGTTCGTAAGTGCCACTTTGACCGATCAATATTGGGCCTCTTGATTCTTGGTCTATTTGTAGCTGAATTTCTCCCTCTTGATTAAAAATTCACCAAGAGGCAGCCTGACGTGACATTTATGAGTTCCTGGAAGTCCATAAATGTTGAATGGTAGAAATTAGCACCGAGTTATTTAGACAATAAAAAGCAAGAAGCAAGCAAGAGAGCTAATATTCAACACTCCTATGTTTTTGTTGTTTATCTGTGGAGTCTCATGCAAAGTGGAACTAAAACTTCAGACAAAGCACCTCCAGATTTTACCTAACCTTTGTATCAATCCCCACCTCTAAATTAGGCTTCATCCCAAATGAATCTGAGCTGGGCTCAATGAAATTGACTACCCTATTTCCTTCTAACTGTGTAACAACAAGTTGCTTGAAAAAGTTTTCTGCTCTATTTTAATACAGGTCATAATAACAAATATTGAAATCAATTACTTTTGCTCTTTCTTCATATAATCTTAGCTGTGCAATCACTGGGAAAATAGGTTGATGAAAAATAAATTTGTGACTTCATTATTTAGGAGTTTTCAACCACAGGACTATTGCACATTCTATCCATGATTATTTCTTTAAAATTATTTCCTACCCACATCTCAGCACTTTTTTGAGCCTCTGTTCCCTTCTATTAAGCAACCTCTTCAGACTTTCAAAATGTTCTCTCGGTAGACCCTTCTGGGCCATTGATCACAGTTCTGGGAGCTTCGCACACTTCCTGGGAGGCCTTGTTGAGTCTAGGCTGGAGTCAGTGAAGAGACAGGGAAGGTTAAATGACTAAAGCTCTAATCAACTAGCCTGAATGCCATTTTGCTTCTCTCACGGCCCAGCCATCCAGACAGCGGTTTGTAGATGGAATTTCAATTCTGTCAGGTTGCTGCTACATTTTAACCAAATACGATGAGACACTATTCTTGACTCTCAAATAGGGAAACCTAGAAAGGTACTTTATTATGCATGGATGAAGGAAAGTGAACGTGCGGTGGTGAGAGGACAGAATCCAGAGCCGAGCCATTAAAGTTAACTCCAAGCTCTACCATTTATTAGGTTTGTGACGCTGCTCTTTCACCTCTCTGTGCATGTTTCATCTTCTGTGAAATGAGAGTCATGATGGTACCTGTCTCAGAGGGTCGTTAGGAGAGAGTAAACGAGCCAATATCTGAGGGCATTGCCAATCACATAGTAAATGCCATGTAAGTATTTGTTAAATAAGAGACTTTTTGATTTAAGAAATATTTATGGAACACCCACTGCCCACGGTAAGAAATAGTACTAAGCAATGTGAGAAGGTAGAAAATTAACAAAATAGTTTAACCTTTAAAAATAGTTACTGGAGGAGCATAGAAGTACTCAACTAACTGAGATAGTAAGTCTGGTACATGCCGTATGCGGGTCTACTCACACAAGCACAGTGGACATCCAGAGGAGAGAGGAACCATTCTTGTCTGGGAGGGAACCAAGAAGGTTACACAGAGGAAATGCTATTTGAATTCTTAAAGAATGAGTGGTATTTCCAAGGGCAAATAATGTGGGGCTATTGTCGGAAGGCTTTCTCACTTGTGTCTGGCAGAAAGCTATTTCACTTGAGTCCAGCATAAGCACAAAGCCAAATTGCCCGCTCCATGTTTACCAATCCTGCATCTGTTTCCTCTGTGCACTTCATCCCCCAGGTCTACCTGCCTTTCTTCCTCTCTTTCCATCCCTTCCTCCACTTGCAAATTTCTACCACTGGCCTCCCTTCTCCTCCGATTACTTTCCTATTTTACCTCTCTTTTAATCTCAAAAGTAATGTGAGGAATCTTTAAATCAATCAAATAATAGAGAGGAGTATACAATGACGAGCAAAATTTTCTTCCTCCACCCCTACTCCCTAGAGGTAACAGTGGTGTGGTGGTTATAAAACCTGTCCACAAATTTGTGATGCTTCTCCCTCTGAAAGGGGGAATTTATATCCACCCCCTTGAATCTGAGTAGGCTTACAACTACTTCCACCCATAGAAAGTGAAGATGTGACAGTGTATGTCTTCCGAGGCTAAGGCATGAAAGGCCATTCAGCATCTACCTGGTTCAGTCAACACTTGCTCTGCTAGCCCTGAGCTGCCATGTGAGAAACTCAGTTTCCCTGAGACAGCCTTGCTGGGGAGGCTACATTCCGCCACTCTGGGCAATGGCCTCAGCTGGGTCCAGCCTTTCAGCTTTCTCCAATACTTACAGAGTTCCTCTCTTAGTTAATGTATGCCATTGCACAAATAGAACACAATTTATTTAAACACTCTCCCAATGATCACTACTGTAGCAGCTTCCAGTTTTTCTGGCATTACAAATAATCCAGCAATGAACGTTGTTACCCATAAATCTTTGTGCATTGTATAAGTGTTTCTCTGGGATAAATTCCTAGAAATAACATTTTTGAACCAGAGCATGTGACTTAAAAACTATTTTTTGATAGATATTACAAAATTGCCCTCCAAATAGGTTACTTGACTTTTCCTGATGGTATATAAGGGTGCCTTTCTCCTGTAACCTCACCAACACTGAGTATTATCAAGCTTTTTCGTTTTTACCATGCTGATGTTATCTCTGCCTTCCTTATGATGTCCCCTGGCCATATTCAGTGTAAACAAGTCATCCTAAGTGTGAATTGTCCCAGCCTGCAAACCGCGCAATGCCTAGGTGAATATAGAACTGGGTGGGGGCGGGGATACATTCAGGATGGTAGAGAACAAAGATAATTCACCAGGGTAATGTATTAATAACTCAAGTGGATGAGAACTAATTTAACATAAAGGTGAACCACAGAATATCACAGACTTGCAGAGCAAAGGTGTCAGAACATAATGAAATTCAGCTCGATGACATTCCGCTAATGGCTGGTGTTATCTGAAGTCAGAATAACCCAGTAGGAAGGAGAAGATTGGGGACTTATGGATGAGGAGAGAGAAAAAAAGAAGTTCCCTCAGTTAATCAAAGTGCTCGCTGGACAGCTGGCTACAAATGGAACATTTTAAAATGATTGATTGCAACCTGGATGGTTCCAGGGTACAGTCAACAATAGTGGTTCTCAAACCTAGCTGCCTAGCAATATTTCCTGGAGTGTTTTTTTTAAAAAATATAGCCACTTCATCTTCCTCACCATCACCCCCAAACACATAGACAGTCACCATAGATTCTGATTCAGTTGGTCTGCCTTTTTAACTGACTCATCAGATAAGTCTGAGGCAGAGCAAGGTTAAGAAAACTGTTTCTGGAGGAGACGTTCTCAAACTTGCAAATGCATCAGAATCACCCCAGAGATTTATTAAAACACAGATCTCCAGGCCCCACTACAATAGCTCCTGATTCCATAAATCTGGAGAGGGCTTTAGAATTTGCATACCTAACAAGCTCCCAAGTGATGCTGATGGAAGGCCACAGTGCAGGAACCACACTGCCATGGCAGCACCAGCACAGCAGACCTGGGAGCTTACCGTAAATGCAGAATCATTGCCCCACGTCAGACCTAATGAATCAGAATTTGCATTTAACAAGATCCCCCAGCGATCTGCATGCACATTCAGGTTTGGGAAGTGTGACCTGTACTTCTTGCTTCTATTGTTTTTCATACTATTTTCAGGAGGCCTGAGGGAGGGGAAAGCTGTGGGAACGACCTGAGTTCTAGTTCCATCACTACTACTGATAGGATAGCCTTTGCAAAAAAACTAATCCTTCGTCTCTCATGGTTTCTAATGCTTTATAAATAAAATGGAGATACTGAGCTAAGTCATCTTTTAGATTCCTTTCCTTCTTTATTATGAGTCTAATTTGGTAATTTACGTATTGGTATGGGCTGAATTGTGTTTTCTCCAAAATACATATGTTGAAGCCCTAACCCTCAGTACCTCAGAATGTGACTATATTTGGAGATAGAACCTTAAAAGAGGGAATTAAGGTTAAATGGGATCATTAGGGTGAGCTGTAATCCAATATGACTGGTGTCTCATCAAGAAGAGGAGATTAGGACACACACGTACAGAGAGAAGACCATGAGAGAACACAATGAGAAAATGACCATCTACAAGCCAAGGAGGCCTCAGAAGAAAGCAGACCTGCAGATATCTTGATCTTGGACTTCTAGCCTCCAGAACTATGAGGAAATAAATTTTTGTTGTTTAAGTTACTCTATCTGTGGTACTTTGTTACAGCAGCCCTAGCAAACTAATCCACACATATAGAGCTTTGTAACTAAATCCGGATTAGATTCTAAATGCAGAAGTATAACTTCTCATTATAACTCATTTTGCTATCAGACTGATTAGCTCCTATAACCAAGTTCTCCAAGAAAGCCAGGGCTTTTCCACACTGCAGTCCCTAGGATTTTCTAGGCAAAGCCTCACACTGCTGGAAATTTATTTCCTTGAATTCCATATCCAAGAACCATGGAATCCTTGTTTACTACTTAACATTCACCCCACTTTCGCCAGTCTCACTGCCAGGGCCACACCCGCACCCTCTCCACTTGCTCTTAGCTTTAAACTTTGATCTCTAGCTTCTGATCTCCTTCACCATCTCTTTTCACAAATCAGCAAATTACATTTCTACGCTTTGATCCTGATTGTTCCATAATTCCTCTTTCCGAGAACTGATTTAAATTTATTGTATTTTTATCCAGATTATTTTTTACAACTTTATTGAAATGTAATAGATAATCAGTTGCTCATATTTACGGTGTACAATTCAGAGAGATTTTTTTTTCCAATGATGATTGGCATACAATGCTATACTTCGTATCTCCATGACTATTTTGTAACTATCCATTGTACTTCTTAACTCCTTTGCTCACTTTCACCTCTCCCCCAACTCCCAAAATATTCTCTATATCTATGAGTTCGGTTCCGTTTTGTTGTTGTTGTTTACTTTGTTCTTTAGATCCTCCTCCAGATTATTATTTTTTCTCTCAGCTCAACCAGGGTTCCCTTGCAGTGCCAATATACAGGAGAAAAATGGCAAGGACGTGAACCCTCCATATAGATGTATTCAGATTATTTCCCCACTTCGCAAAGTTGATTGTGTGATACAGATAGAAATAAGGATTCTAGAATCCCTCTAGTCCAATGCAAAGACTCACACATCCAAACATTAATGCAAAAAGTGGCACTGTTTTAAGAGCTCTACAGGTAAGCCTGTTTCTCACAAGCAAATGATGTAGATACCTGGGACATTTTTCAGTAGTGACACAAAGTAGTCAAAGTTCCACAAAAGCAAAATATTTTTGACTTTTTCTCAGCAATAGGAAAACGTCAGAACTTAATTTTCTCCTTTTTCCCATAAAAGTTGTTTAAAGCTGTGTTTCTCAAATGTAAAAGAGACAGCATGTCACCTGGGGGTCTTGTTAAAGTGTTGATTCTGATTTAGTAGGCATAGGGTGAGGCCTGAACATCTGCATTTCAAAAACAACAAACAAACAAACTCCTAGTAGAAGCCCACACATTGAGTTCATTGACTAGATTTTGAATAGCAAGGATCTAAGGGCAATGAGATAGGGTCTATGGTTTCTGCAGATTCATTGATAGCTAGAGTTTAACTTCTAAGGTTTGCTTTGAATGAGTGTAGACAACCTCACCTTGGCAGAGGTGGGTGTTTGAGAAACACAAAACTCTGAGTCCATTCACTAGGGCTCTTAGCATCACCCAAGCTTTGATGAGTCAGTGAGACTGAGAGAAGGCATGCAATATGTTGGCTATTGTAATCAGTAGAGTGTCCCAGTTCATCTTCTTCACTGACATGAATAACACAAAGCGAATGATTGCAGCAACCACAAGTTTAAATTTTAGAACCTCATAAACATCCCTTCTCTATCTAGGCATAGAGACATACCCTGGTCCTGATTCTAAAAGCTCAGATTTCTCACCTGGTCCCAGAGGGCACAGGGACTACACTACCATAACCTGTGGTGTGCACCAAAAAAGGCAATCATTGATATCTTTTATAGCAGCGGTCCACAACCTTTTTGGTACCAGGAACCAGTGCTCCTATGAGGATCTAATGCCTGATGATCTGAGGTGTTGCTGAGGTGGTGATGCTCACGCTGGAGAGCAGCTGCACATAGAGATGAAGCTCAGCTCACTTGTTCACCGCTCACCTCCTGCTGTGCAGCCCAGTTCCTAACAGGCCAATGACTGGTACCAGTCCACAGCCCAGGGTTTGGGGACCCCTGCTTTATAGTTCACCAAGTTTCTGAATAAACCCATACAGCAGTGCTTTCTAAACTTGTCTATATATTGCAGTCACCTGCGGAGCTTCAAAAATTGCTGATTCCTGGTGTAGCTCCAAAATATTGTGATTTAAGTCATTTAGGGTATGTCTTGGGCTTTAGAATATTTTTAAAGACTCCACCCCCACCCCAAGGCGATTCTAATGTGCAAACAAATTTGGGAACCACTGTTATGAGGTAGTATATTGATTGATTAAATGCAGGAATTGAGGTGAAAAAGAAACTA